TCGCTCCCAAGAGCTCCCCCCCCGCCCCAACGTTGCCCCTTCACGAGGGGGGCTGGCCTGACTCGCTCCTGCGCCGCGGCCCTCCCCCCCTGCCTGGAGCGCTCTAGGCGGGCAGGCGTCGGACACAGTGCGGCCAGGGCTTCTGCTGGCGTCGGGCGGCGAGGCCGCACAAAAAAGAGGCGGGGGGGCGGGGAGGGAAGTGGAGGAGGAGCCGAAGGGAGGGTGGCGGGAAGAAGGGGGGGCGGAAGGGGGGAGGGAAATTCTAGACGCTTCGCGTATCCCCACCAGCCCGTCCAGAAACGACGCCCAGGCGAGTAGAGGGTCGTCCTGAGGGGCTTTTCGGCGTCTTGGGTGCCTCGGGGGGGCCTCTTTGGGCCGTTTGGGATCCTCTTGGGGGCCTCCTGGGGGCCTCTTGGGGCCATCTTGGGGCCATCTTGGGGCCTCTTGGTGCCTCCTGGGCGCTTCTTGGGGCCATCTTGGAGGAAATCGATCAAAGAAGAGGGGAGCTTCAATTAGTGCTGCCCCCTCTGGGGGCCAAAATGGGGCCAAAACCTTAGTAAAATCAATGATTTTGGCTTCCTCGGCGAGGCCGTTTTGGACGCTCTGACCGTTCCCCGCCCCCCCTGTCCAGGTCAGTGGGGAGGGGGTAGGGGGAGGGGTAAACCCCTCCCCGAAGGGGAAGAAGGAGGGGTGGAAGAGGAAACGCTCTAAACCACCGACGCCCAGAGGGCTGGTGGGAATAAGCTTGAGGGAGGGGGGGGGGAGGGGGGGGGGCGATGATGCGGAGGCGGCGGAGGGGGAGCAGGAGCAGGGGCATGAGCAGCAGGCTTATAAGCAAGGGGATGATGATTATCATTGTATGCGGACAAGGAGGATGAGGAGGGGGAGAATGAGGAGAAGGACGAGAAGGAGGAGGAGAAGGGAGGAGGCGAAGAACAGGATAAGCAGCTGGGCCAGAAGGGAGGGAGGATGATGATGATGTTGGGGAACGGAGGGAGGAGGATGAAGAGGAGGCGGCGGAGGAGGAGGAGGAGGAGCAGCAGCAGCAAGAGTAGGAGCGGGAGCAGGAGGAGCAGGAGGCTGATAAAAATAAGGAAAGAAGAAGTGTCATAGTACGCAGACACGGATGATGAGGAGGAGGAGCAGCAGGAGGAGCAGGAGAGAAAGGAAGAGGATCAAGAAACATAACGAACACAAGAGCCTCCTAGAATGTCTCTTCGGAATAGTCTAGGGAGCCTCATGAAACGTCTGGGGAGCTTATCAAGGGCCTCAAAGAGACTCTTGAGGTTTCTTTGAGGCCTCTTGGAAAGCTATAGGAGGCGTCTTTGGGCTCCTCTTGGACCCGTCTGGAAGCCTTTGGAGGCCCTGCTGAGGCGCGCTTGGAGGCCTTAGGGGCGCTCTTGGAACCATCTTGGAGGATATCGATGAAGAAAGGGGGGTTCCTAAATTACAGCCCCCCCCTCAGGAGCTCCAGAAATCGCTTCCTGGACCCCTCTTGACCCGCTCTTGGCGCGCTCTTGGCCGCTCTTGGCGCCGTCTTGGGGCTTTCTTGGGCCCTTCTTGGAGCTATCTTGAGCCATCTTAGAGCCATCTTGACGCCTCGGATGTGCATCGCAATGGAAAAAGTGATAACACCGAAAACATTGGTTTACCCTAAGGTTTTGAAGCATTTTGGCCTCTTGGGGGCGTCCTTGGGGAACTCTGTTGGGCACTTGGAACCGTCTTGGAGAGTTCTTGGAACGTCTTGGAACATCATGGGGACCATCTTGAGGCATCTTGCGCTATCTTGAGCCATCTTGGAGGGTATCTTGGGCTCCCTGAGGCCCTCTTGGAGCCGTCTTGGGCCATCTTGGGCGCTCCAACGCGCCGCGGAACCCCCTGTCCAGGTCAGTGGGGAGGGGGTAGGGGGAGGGGTAAACCCCTCCCCGAAGGGGAAGAAGGAGGGGTGAAAGAGGAAACTCCTTAAACCACCGACGCCCAGAGGGCTGGCGGGATTGGATTGAGGGGTGGACGCTGGAGGCGGGGGCGGAGGAGGGAGGAGGGGGGATTTCCAGCAGGGGGCGGGAGAGGGGAGAGGAGGGGGGGGGCGGGGCGAGCCGGACGGAGGGCGGGGAGGCTGGGGGTGAAAGGAGCCCTTTTGTGTCCCCGTTTCTCTGCGGCCTCTTCTCCTTGCCCCACTCCTTCTAGACGGTTTCAGGATAGAAGGGGGGGAACAAGAGACGACGGGGGGCGGCGCCAGCCGAGAGGAAGGGGCCAGGAGTCAACGGCCCCGCTCTGCCCCGCCTTCTGCCCCGCCTTCTGCCCCGCTCCGCCTCGCTGGTTCGCCCCTTCGGTTGCCCCCCTCGCGCGGTTTCGCCGCGGCGCGGCCGCGGGGCCTCGGCGCCTTGCGCTCGGAGGCGCCAAGACCACGACGCAACGACGACGACAACGACGACGCAACGACGACGACAACGACGACGCAAAGACGACGGCGACGAGGACGACGACGACGACGACGGCGACGACGCCCCACGACGACGGCGACGGCGACGACGACGACGAGCACGACGACGACGAACGACGAACGACGACGACGACGACGACGACGACGACGAGGACGACGACGACGGCGAGCACGACGACGACGACCACGAGCACGACGACGACGACGACGACGACGACGACGACGACGACGACGATGGCGACGACGACGACGAGGACGACGACGACGGCGAGCACGACGACGACGACGGAGGCGGCGACGACGACGACAACGGCCACGACGGCTGCCCCTCCCTTGTAACCCCATTTGCGCATGTGGTGCGTTGCCTACTGCTCCGCTGCCGCTTGTGCTCGCGAAAATTTAATCAGAGTAAGACTTGCGATGTTTAACGAAAGCATGAAAGCGAAAACAAAAAAACTGCATATATCTTAGTTTTTGGCGCTCCGCGCAGAGCGCCAGAAGCTTATGTTTATGCAGTGTTTACATCCTGTAGAGGGGCCCCTTGAGCCGCCTTCGGGCGGTCGTTTGAAAACCCGGCGGGTTCCGGAGAGCTCCCACGAGACATATACACACATGTCAGACTTGCACATATGACGACATTCTGTCCAATTCAGCTGACACGACTCTGGAGCCAGATTCTGTACGATTCCATGCTGACGACGCCCCAGGATGCGTGCTGGCAAGAAAACGATCTAGATCCACGGACGTGTTCATTACACGGCTGACGCCGAACTGCCATCTCTATCGGTGAAACCGCATTAGTACCGGAGCTAGTTGGCTCCTGGCAGCACACTTGGCACCATGACGGGCTCAAGAGAGAATGAGAAGAATAAGGCTCCTACGTGGGAAGGGGACGGAGTTCGCTTCCAGGAGTATCGAGAGAGAGTCAAGTGGCACGTGGCTGGTTTTAACCATCGTGACCGGGGCGATAATGGCGGCGACACGCACAGGTGAAGCATGAAAGGCGGTGGAGGAAGGATCAAAGGAAGGTCTAGAACTCCTGGAGCAGCTCGGTGATCACAAGATCCTACTAGAGTTCCTCGACGAGACGCTGATGGACGAGCCCATCCCCGAGGCAGCGAAATATCTGAATGAATACCTCCTCGCGCTGCGGCAGAAGAACAACGAAATAATGAAGGCCTGAGCCTAAAGGGCCAGGATCGTGGCCGACAAACTGGACCACAGTGTCAGACGCATAGATAAGAAGGACCCAGCGGCGACGATCAAATTAGAGAAGAAGTCCAGGCCTGTCGAAGAGACCGAGTCGATCAGGGGAGACTCGATCCTTCCAGAAGGCGACGATGAAGAAGCGAACGCGGAAGATGACGCATGCGGTTGGAAAGGGGGATCGGGAAGCGGCGGACAGACTGGAAGTAGGTGACATGGCAGCTGGTGGAGCAGATCGCCGGACGGACATGCAACATCGATATCAAGGCGCTGAAGGAGGTCGCGACCGAAGCGAAAGAGACCCTCATCCCGTCGGTCATGGCAGGATGATTGCTACTGCAGCGGGCAGGGCTGAAAGCTCAAGAGCGCGCCGGCGCCCTGTCGCCGGCCAAGGACCCACTTAACCTGCGTGGCACCTAGGGGGCACTACGCGACCAATGGGCCGACGTATATTTGAAGGAGCGCGACGCCAAGAACAAGAAGCGCGACATGTTCTCCCACAGCCCCAAACGCGGACGCGCTCTCGGCATCTTCGACGAGGGCGACGAGGAGGAGCAGGGGCGCGACGAAGAGCACGCCGAGGACTGCAACGAGGCCTACCTGGGCGATGGGACGGACGAGGACGACGACGAGATCGACCTCGAAGGCCTGGAGGGCGACGAGCGCACTTAGGCCGAGGAGGCCCCGGCAGCCGTCGCCGACGCGAAGGAGGGCGTCTGGGCCCAGGCGCGAGCGCCGACGCAGGCGCGGGCAGTCGTCAAGGAGATCAAGCAAACCGACTAGACGTAAGAGTGACCTTTCGCAAGAGTGGCCTTTTCGCGGGCCCAATAGGGCCCCCCGATCGCCGAGCGCGATGCGACGGCGGCGCCTTGCGCGCTCGCCCCCCCCGCGGCCCCCAAAATGCCGTGCGCCAAAGGTCGCTTCTGCCCGGGGTCGCTCTTGCGCGCGGCCGAGCGGAGTCGCGGATTTTTCGCGGAAAGGGCCGCGGTGAGGGCGGGGGCGGACCTGCAGGAGACGCAGGCGCGGGGCCGCGCTTCATCTGCGGCGGCCCCCACGGGCAGGCGCAGCGCCCGAGGCGCAAAGAGGAGAGCGAAGGTGAGCGCGCAAGAGCAAGGTCGCCCCGCAGCAGCGCGCGGGGCGACGCCCCCGACTGCGTGGTCGAGCTGGCCATGGAGGACGAGACGGCGGACCGCGAGTGCGAGGGGCCGGCCCTCGCGCCCCCCGCGGCGGAACAGCGCGAGGAGACGGCCGGCGACGTCGAGCGATCGCTGGCCGGGCTCGAGGACGAGACGGAGGGGCGCACGGCGCCGGACTGCGGTCCGACGAAAATTTTCGGTGCTACCAAGGTTTTGGAGAAGATGATCAAGAAGCAGAGAGCTGCGGGCATGATGCCGGCAGCGCGACGGTCGATGCGACAGATCGGCCGAACTTCGGTTTCACTAACCGCGCGTCGGAGAAGTGCCCGAGTTGGCCGACCCTACCAGTTACGGCAGAAAGACGACTGGGCCCCGTAGCCGGGCGCGCTCTCAACGCGAAGAACAACCGCTATTTGCCGGCGAGACGCTCAGACGCCATCATCATCGATTTCGGCGTTGGGATCGCCTGTTTCGCCGGGACTGCGACCGACGAGCTCGCCGAGCTGAAGTGGGTCTAGACACGGCATCTCTGCGTCGCACGACGAGGGACTTGCGCGGCAACAAGCTGACGAAGCAGGAGATGCAGGACCCGCGGCAGAAGATCGAGAACCTGCACCGGACGCTCGGCGCGCAAGACGTCGAGCAGGCCGGGCATCCAGCCGTCGCGGAATAGGAGCATCACGGCGATAGCACAACAAGAAAGCCATCGACACGCCACTGGAGGGGGCATTCCGCGCCATCCGCGAGAGCGGGGGAGGGGGCCGAGCGCAGCGGGAGCAAGGAGACTGCATTGAACGTCGTCCTACCAGGGGGACCTGCGATGATCGGCAACCGGATTGGATTCTCAAGGGGTCGGAAGCTATTGCGAGTCCGCCACGACCCACAGCTCGACCGACACTCCGAGCGCAGCCGCGCGATTCCAGAGGACGTCGACGGCGCGAGCGACGTCGACGCCATCGAGGGAACGCGCGGCGAGTCCGACGGGGAGGGGGCCGGGCACGAGTCAGCCAGTGAGCCGATAGGCATCGAAATTATAGCATCGACGTGCGAGCCGGAACCGTCCGATGGGGCGCTCGAGAAAACGAAGGCTCCCGGGACCCTTGTGAAAGACGCGAAGATTAAAACGGAGGGGGGCTCAACGCCGCGCGCGCCGCCCTGGCCAAAAATCCAGATTCAGGGCGTTCGCCGAGTGCCATCGCGACAAGGCCCAGGGCGCCCGGGGCAGCCGCGGCGGCTGCAACGGAGACACCTGCGCCGAGCCGCCAGCTCAAGTCAGGCGGGCAAGGCGGTGGCAGCAAGCGCCCGACGGGAAGCGGCGGGCGACCTGTCTCTCCAGCAAGGGCGTCGACAAGCAGCTGGACGACATGCGGAGCAAAGACGATCTCCGAGAGGATGATGCACGATCGAAGGGGGGGACGCCTGGACAGGAAGCGGGCCGCGGCTGCCGGCGAGAGGGGCGCCGGGCACCTTGGCGGGCGATGTCGCGGCGGCCGCGACGCAACCAACCATCTGGCGACGCATGCCAACCGGTACACGGCGAGCAACGATCGCGAGGCGCGAGCCGGCGATGCCCCGCGCCCCGAAGCACGAGGCGCTTGGCAAGCACCAACTGCAGGGGCCAGTGGGCCCGACGGACGGGAACCTCGAGCTCCGCGAGATCACCCAGGAGAGACCCGCGCCGCGACCCGCGACCCCGAGAGTGGACGAGACCGCGGAGTCGGACGACTCGTTCCTGAAGACGGGAACCTCCGACGAGACGGAGGAACTCCCGCGGGCGGAGACCGAGGCGCCGCGGGCGGCCCAGGACGCAGGCGCGACGAGGGGCAACGCCATGCGCCACGATGAGGGACAGCACCGGGCGCCCGGCCGACAGGCTCAAGAAGGAGAAGAAGGTCCGGAGGCTCAAGAAGGACGACGTCAGGGCGGCACTCTTGCAAGGCTAGGGGGTGCCGGGCGGCGCGTCACCATTCAACGCGGCGAACGAGGAGTTGGCGGAGGCGCTCGGGTCACCTGCCGGGCCACTCGTGCGCCTAAAGAAGGCAGCACATGGATTACGCCAGGCACCCAAGTCGCGGCGCGAGAACGCGGGCGCGCTGATGGAGCAGCGCGGCGGACGGAGATACGCGCCATATCCGTGCGCCTGAGTGTTCAGCGACGAAAGGGCGCCTGCAGCATCGTCGGCACGCGCGTGGACGACTTCCTGATCAGGTGGTGGCAGCCATCGTTGGATGGACGTGGAGATGCAGCTCCAAAAGGCGTTTCGCCGGATCCCCTGGGAAGAGGGACAGTTCAAGCTGTCGGGGCTGGCGGACAGCCAGGGCCAGGACGGACGAATCACGCTCCTCCAGCAGGAGCCCATCGACAACGTCAAGGATCAACATTCCTAGCGATCTCCGAAAGCAGCGCAAGGAAAAGCTCACGGACCGCGAGATGACCCTACTGAGAGGAGCTCTGGGTGAGATCCGGCGGGCAGCTACGCGGACGACGCCGCGGTGCCAAGCGAAGTGCCGCATCTTCCAACGGCAACGCAGTGGACCAACGGCGACCATCGAGGCGCTCTTTGGCATCAACAAGATGATTCGCCATATCAGGATGGACAGAACTACCAACTGAATTTCGAGCCGTTCAAGGGCACTCCCGCGATCGCGGGCTGGAGCGACGCAGCCTGGGCGAACTTCCCAGACGGCAAATCCACCGGCGGCTGCGTGATCGGCGGCGGGGGTGCTGGGCCCTAGTCGACGACGAGGAGCAGCTTAGCTCGAAGAAGCGGAAGGAAAGAGGTCTGACATGACTCGAGACGAACAAGCGAGATCTTGCCGGCCTCATCCGGGACGCGTTCAAGACCGATGAGATCACACTACCAGATGCAGCAGTCGGTGGTGAAGAAGATGTTCGGTATCAGCTACGCAGCGGGCCCCTTGACCGATGTAGATTTCTACTTCTGAGCGGCCGAGGCCGCGGTTACGACAATGCGGTTCTTCGAAAGCCCATTGGACGGGAGCCCAAGGGACACGTTTCTTCTGCAGTGCCAGATGTGGCAGAAGGCATTGCGCTAAGACGCGCCATTTGGGCAGTGAGGAGGATGGGTAGCCCTCTCTCGAGCCTGGAAGCGGATAGCCCAGGCAACGAAGAGTTCTGGAGATGTAAACGACTTGCGCATGTGATGCATTGCCTACTGCTCCGCTGCCGCCTGTGCTCACGATGGCCCCATTGAGCCGCCTCTGGGCGGTCGTTTCAACATCTTGCGGGCTCCAGAGAGCTCGTGAAATACATATTTGTATATATATAATACACATATATCACAGTTACACACATTACGGCATTCTTTCTTAGTGCGTTGAAGTACAAGAGTTTCTCTTGAGCCATATACATTTACGGTTGCAGGCAGGTGGTCGGGAGTTGACGACGTCCTGGCACGTGTACCGACATAAAAAGAGCTAGATCCACGGACCTATTCAGTAAACGGCTGACGCCGACACCGAAATCGACATCTCGATCGGTGAACCTGCACCCGCCGGGGGTTGCCAATGGGCGGACTGGCGTGTTTGGCGCCGAGCTGCGCGGCATGAGCGCGCGCCCGCCAGTTGGAAGGAGGAGGGGGGGTGGGGAGGAGGGGGAAGAGGAGGCCGACGAGGAGGAGGAGGAGGAGGAGGAGGAGGGGAAGAAAGAGAGAGAGAGAGAGAGAGAAAAAAAAAAAGAGAGAAAACAAAAAAAACTGACAAAGGGAAAAGGAGGAGGAGGAGGAGGAGGAGGAGGAGGAGGAGGAGGAGGAGGAGGAGGAGGAGGGAGGGGGGTGGCCCGGGGGTGGGGGAGGGGGAAGGGAAGGGGAGAAGGACGACGACGACGACGACGACAAGGGCGGTTGCGCCAGCTCGCCTACGCAGAGCGCTTGGCAAGCCCAGCTCGCGGCCGGCCGCTGGAAGATGAGGACAAGGAGGAGGGGGGGAGGAGGGAGGTGGAGGAGGAGGAGGAGGAGGAGGAGGAGCAAGGGAGGAGGACGAGGAGGAGGCGGAGGAGGACGAGGAGTAGGAGGTGTCCTTCCTTTTCTGTTTCCTTTGCTTGGGCCCCCACAAGGATTCAGTTTCACTGCAGGAAGTGCCCCGTTTGGAGACAATCGTTTGAAGATCCTGAAGCGTGCAAAAACAAAACTATCGGAGCCTAAACGCCACGACTCAACCTTACTGTTGCGTCTTTGATGATCCTGAATCGTGCCAGAACGTCGTTCCTCTGACTTCAACACCGCGAATCAGCGTAACTGCGGCGCCCTGCCTGGCGTTGCTAAGCCCTTACAAAACACCCTTTCTAGTACGTTAACAATGGGAACCTGCGAACTTCCTGCAACTGTGTAAGACGAGTGTGCGCTGCGCTAAGGCGAGAGCCACATGTTGGAAAGCAACCGCCTTCAACCCGTGAAGCTCTTGCAACTATTTAAGACGAGTGTGCACGGCGCTAAGGCGAGAACCACAGTTTGAAAACGGCATGCTCTCAATCCGTGAACTTGTTGCAAATAGTTGAGACGTGTCTGCGCGGCGCTAAGGCGAGAGCCACATGGTGAAAACCACCTGCCCTCGATCCGTGAAACCCTTGCAACTATTTAAGACGAGTGTGCGCGGCGCTAGGGCGAGAGCCACATAGTGGAAACGGCACGCCCTCAATCCGTGAAGCTCTTGCAAATGATGAAACGAGGGTGCGCGACGCTAAAGTAAGAGCCACAGTTTGGAAGCGACCCGTCCTCCATCTACGAAGCTGTTGGCCAGAATTTAAGCTTGAAGCTCATGAATGAATGGTACGGAAGTCTCAGGCGAAACGCCCCGCCCCCGCCCTTTCGACCGGCCTCGGGGCGCGACAGGGAGGAGTTATTTAGAATGAAAAAGGACGGAGGAGAAAAGGACGAGGGCGAGGGGCGAGGAGGAGGAGGAGGAGGCAAAAAAAAATCTGCCGCTCGATCTCGTCGGAGGTTGGGGGGCGAGATCGCAGTGGAACGGAGAGCCCCCGACAAATCGGTTTCGGTTTCGTCTTCGTGTCTTGCGTGCGGGCGAGGCGAAGCTGCGTGGGCGCGCGAGAAGAATGACCCCGCCGTCGCTAGGGCGAGTCGGATGCAGCGGACCGCCCCTCTGCCCCCGATGGGCGTGCGGTGGCCCCGGATGTCCCGCCGTGGTGTCCCGTGGTGTCCCGTTGGTGTCCCGTCGGTGTTCTGTCGGCGGCGGGCGGGCGGTGGCCAGGGGTGTCCCGCCTTGGTACCGATAGTGAAGTCGATAGCGAGATTGAGGATGAGATCATTCGAATGGGATGGAGAGTGAGAATACAGTGAGATCGATAGTGAGGTTGATTGTGACATTGGTTGTGAGATAGGAAGAAAGACGCTAGTGGCATTACATTCGAGGGCGCGTTACCAGCGTCGTCATCATCACACCCATCCCATTGGCCAGCAGTTGGTTCTTTCCCCCCACCCTCCAAACCTCCTCATCACCCGAATGGTGGTCGTATAGGTATATCCGAGAAGATGGGTTGCACCTCGCCGAAGGATTCGTGTTGCTTTCTGCCTGCTGCTGCCAGAGAGCGGCGCAAGGAGCGTCGGCAGATGCGTGTTTCCTGTCCGCGGTGGCTGGGGTGGGCTCCCCCGCGCTTCTGGTAAATGTTTCTTGTCCCCGACGCTGTCGAGTCTCACGGGGGCGCTCAAAGGACAACTTAGGGTTACTTTGACGACACCTTGGTACACCCCGTTTGAGCCTGGGCTTGTTGCTCCTCCTCCACCTCCTGCATCCTCCCTCTGTTTCTCCTCTTCGCTCCGTGCTCCCCCTCGTCCACCGATCTGTTGGGGCGGTCTTCAAGGTTCGGGCCTGCCTTGAAGACGGTTTCTCGACAAGGCATGGTATCCCCCCTTACGCCACGAGCTGGGGGCCGCGGGGGACTTTTGGAGGACGATCTTAGGCAGGAGGAGGTCGGGGAGGAGGAAGGACCAGGAGGCAGGGCGGGAGGAAGACGAGGACGAGGAACAGAAAGGAGGGAGGCGGGACGAGGAGAAGAAGAAGACGAGCATCGAGGAGGAGCAGCAGGTAGTACATCCAGGGGGGAAAGGAGGAGGAGCACGGAGGATCGGCGAAGAGCATCCAGCCGGGTCGCAGGCGGGGTCGGGGACGCGGGGGTACAGGGCTCTTAGGGCCATGTCAGGAGCGACGCTTTGCACGGGAAGCGTGGGGACGCGCGAGACAGGGAAGCTCTGGAGTTGGAGGGGCCTCGATGCTCTGCGTTCCCTGGTCCCGCGTGTAAATGTTGCATCATGCTTGCAAGACGGAAAAGGGGGCCGCAGGTCCGTGGGCGATGTTGGCGGCGCTTCGAGCGACGGCCAACCCCCCCCCACTCCAGATCGCCGCTGATTCCCTCCTGGGAGGTCAAAAGCTTCGGGCCCCGACGGGTCTAGGCCTCCTAGATGGGGTCGGAGTAGATGGGGCCCGAGGATTACGCCGCATCGCTGATGTATCGGCGATGCGGCTCGATGCGGAGCCTGATTTTCTCCACGCCGACATCGCAGATGCGTCGCCAACGTCGGCGATGCATCGCCGATACATTGGCGATGCGGCGCGATCCTCCGCTCCGACCCCAGCTACTCGGATCTTATCCAGGAGGCCTCTAACGAGATCCCGTGCGCTGGCCGTCGTTGGCCATGGAGGGACATGCCGAGCGGACAGACATGATCATTACACCAGTCACCCAGGCATCGTTTACATCTCTCGGGCGGTGTGGCCTCGGCGGGTGAGGAATGGCGCGGAGAGCACCGCTTAGTCCCAGAGGGAGGGTGGACAGCAAAGGACGAGGAGGAAGTGGAGGGATGCGATCCGCAAGCTCCCCCCCTCTCAGATCAGCAGCCGCGACCCAGCCTGCTCTCGGCTTGCTCCCCCTCCCCCCATCCTCCGCTTCCCCCCGTCTCCTCTTCCCTCCCCTGACCTCCTTCCTTCCTCCCCTATCCCTCCCTCATCCTCCTCAGCACCAACATTGCCACCAGGCATCCTCATCCATCACCACCATCAGCACCGCCCTCGTCACAGTCAACACCAACATCACCATCACGATCACCATGAACATCGTTCTCGTCATCAACAGCATCATATTCGCCATCGTCGGCATCGTCGTCATCACGGTGTCATTACCATTACCAGCATCACGATCACACTTTCACAGCAACATTAACATCATCGACAACAGCAGCAACACCATCCTCATCAGCAGCATCACCATCCGTCCTCCTAATCCTCCTTCTCCTCATCCGCTTCCTCTCCCCTCCTCGTCCTCCTACTACCATTACTACGACTACTACTACTACTACTACTACTACTACTACTACTACTACTACGACTACTACTACTACTACTACTACTACTACTACTACTACTACTACTACTACTACTACTACTACTACTACTACTACTACTACTACTACTACTACTACTACTACTACTACTACTACTACTACTACTACTACTACTACTACTACTACTCTACTACTACTACTACTACTACTACTACTACTACTACTACTACTACTACTACTACTACTACTACTACTACTACTACTACTACTACTACTACTACTACTGCTACTACTACTACTGCTACTACTACTTCTACTACTACTACTACTACTACTACTACTACTGCTACTACGACTACTACTACTACTACTACTACTACTACTACTACTACTACTACTACTACTA